AGAGATAACAGTCTATGACTTGGGTTACTGGAGTCTTTGACAATTTTTGGGGCCTTCCTCTGACACCGCCTTGGATATAGGTCCTGGATGGCAGGAAGCTTGGCCCCAGTGATGTACTGGGCTGTACGCACTACCCTCTGTAGCGCCTTACGGTGATGCAACCAGTCAGGATGCTCTCGATGGTGCAGCTTTAGAACCTTTTGAGGATCTGGGGACCCATGCCAAATCTTTTCAGTATCCTGAGAAGGAAAAGCTGTTGTCGTGCCCTCTTCACGACTTTCTTGGTGTGTTTGGACCATGATAGTTTGTCGGTGATGTGGACACCAAGGAACTTGAAACTCTCAACCCGCTCCACTACAGCCCCGTCGATGTAAATGGGGGCATGTTCGGCCCTCCTTTTCCTGTAGTCCACGATCATCTCCTTTGTCTTGCTCACGTTGAGGGAGAGGTTGTTGTCCTGGCACCACACTGCCAGGTCTCTGACCTCCTCCCTATAGGCTGTCTCATCGTTGTCGGTGATCAGGCCTACCACCGTTGTGTCGTCAGCAAACTTAATGATGGTGTTGGAGTCGTGCTTTGCCACGCAGTCGTGGGTGAACAGGGAGTACAGGAGGGGACTAAGCACGCACACCTGAGGGTCCCCCGTGTTGAGGATCAGCGTGGCAGATGTGTTGTTGCCTACCCTTACCACCTGGGGGCGGCCCCTCAGGAAGTCCACGATCCAGTTGCAGAGGGAGGTGTTTAGTCCCAGGGTCCTTAGCTTAGTGATGAGCTTTGTTGAACGCTGAGCTGTAGTCAATGAACAGCATTCTCACATAGGTGTCCCTTTTGTCCAGGTGGGAAAGGGCAGTGTGGAGTGCGATTGAGATTGCGTCATCTGTGGATCTGTTGTGGCGGTATGTGAATTGGAGTGGGTCTAGGGATGATGGTGTTGATGTGAGCCATGACCAGCCTTTCAAAGCACTTCATGGCTACCAACGTGAGTGCTATGGGGCAGTAGTCATTTAGGCAGGTTACCTTCGCTTTCTTGGGCACAGGGACTATGGTGGTCTGCTTGAAACATGTAGGTATTACAGACTCGGTCAGGGAGAGATTGAAAATGTCAGTGAAGACACTTGCCAGTTGGTCCGCGCATGCTCTGAGTACACGTCCTGGTAATCCGTCTGGCCCCGCGGCCTTGTGAATGTTGACCTGTTTAAAGGTCTTGCTCACATCGGCTACGGAGAGAGTGATCACACAGTCGTCCAGAACAGCTGGTGCTCTCATGCATGCTTCAGAATTGCTTGCCTCGAAGCGAGCATAAAAGGCATTTTGCTCGTCTGGTATGCTCGCGTCACTGGGCAGCTCGCGACAGGGTTTCCCTTTGTAGTCCGTAATAGTTTGCAAGCCCTGCCACGTCCGACGAGTGTCAGAGCCGGTGTAGTAGGATTCCATCTTAGTCCTGTATTGACGCTTTGCCTGTTTGATGGTTCGTCTGAGGGCATAGCGGGATTTCTTATAAGCGTCCGGATTAGTGTCCCACTCCTTGAAAGCGGCAGCTCTAGCCTTTAGCTCGGTGCAGATGTTGCCTGTAATCCAAGTCAATACTAACCTAATTGACAAAGTGAAAAGAAGGAAGCCTGTACAGAATAAAAAAGTATCCAAAATATGCATCCTTTTGGCAACAAGGCACTAAAGTAAAACTACAAAAAATGTCTTGAATACAAAGTGTTATTTTTGGGGCAAAGCCAACACAACACTCTTCATATTTTCAACATGGTGGTGGCTGCATCATGTTATGGGTATGATTGTCATCGGCAAGGACTAGGGAGTTTTTTGTTGTTGATAAAAATAAATAGAATAGAGCTAAGCACAGGCAAAATCCTATAGAAAAACCTGGTTCGTCTGCTTTCCAACAGACACTGCGAGACAAATTCACCTTTCAGCCAGTGGAGGCTGCTGAGGGGAGGACGGCTCATAATAATGGCTAGAATGGAGTTTAATGGCTGGAATGGAGTGAATGGAATAGGATCAAACATGTGTTTGATACTATTCTATTCACTCCATTGCAGACATTATAATCAACCGTCCTCACCTCAGCAGCCTCCACTACTTTTAGCAGGACAATAAACCTAAAGGTTGCTTACAAAGATGACATTGAATGTTTCTGAGTGGCCAAGTTATAGTTTTGACTTAAATTGGCTTGGAAATCTATGGCAAGACTTGAAAATGGCTGTGTAGCAATGATCAACAACCAACTTGACAGAGCTTGAAGAATTTTTAAAAGAATAATGTGCAAATATTGTACAATCCAGGTGAGCAAAGCTCTTGGAGACTGACCCTTTAAGACTCACAGCTGTAATCACTGCCAAAGGTGATTCTAACATGTATTGACTCAGGGGGTTGAATACTTATGTAATCAAATCAAGATACTGTACCTTGTGGTAAAGGTGCGCTGTAGCTAGCACAGTGCTAGCCGAAGGGAACCGAGTGGGGGCAGGTTAGCCTTCGGGTAGGTAAATTCCCTTGACCGAGAAGCCTGGGGGCTAAACCCAGTCGGTCTGGCTAACCCAACAAGTGCACGTGGGTTTACTAGACATGAGAAGGGAGCTAGCAGTGCTACTGTGTTGCAAGTAGGATTGCTAGTAGGGGTTGGCTGGCTGGTAGCTACCCTGTGGCGAAGGTATGCTGCCGCTGGCACAGTGCAAGCTGAAGAGAACCGTTTGGAGGCAGAGTTCTACTTGGGATGGTTTCTCCCCTGACCATGGAGCCGAGAGGCTAAACCGTGAACGCAGGTTAACAAGAGAAGGGAGCTAGCAATACTACCGTATGTGCAGGTAGAAGTGTGGCTAGCTTGCTTTTCAGCTAACTAGCCAAGTTAGCTTAAGTCTTGCAGCGTGGGCTAACTGAGTCTCGGTAGCTAGCCATGTTACGGTAGCTGTCACCAGAGACTGAGAAGTAGAAAACAAATTATACTTGAAGCTAAACGTTCCTTTCGGTAAGTACTAAACACTGTCGACAAGAGCTGAGGTCCTACGTTCGGCAAGGTTAACCTCAGCGTTCGCCTGTGAACTGTTATGTAGGAAGTCAGGAATTTAAGTCATGCTGAGGAAAGCTTCAGTCGCCGTCGTGATCATTTCCGCAAGGAAGAGAGGCGAGAATGACCATAGGGCGGGCGAGTGGCGCCTCCGAAGGACTCACCTTATTCGCCACTCTACCTGTTTGTCTCCGACAGACGTTGTATTATTGGTTACTTCGTCATTTGTGACCTCCTGAGAAATCCCATTGTGAGATATCGAAACGAGTATTTGAAAGAGAACTATGGTAACAATGGGTGCTAAGAGAGGTGTTCTTCTGATTTGCCTTTTGGTAAACAGTTATGTGTAAGAATAACATAGGCCTTTCAGAGCTGTGGTTGTGCTTAGATTAATAGATGGAGTAGAGGATCAGTGATTCCACACAGTAGAACAGAGATGAGACATTGCATCATGGACCTGTGTTGAATCCTCGGGATCATTATCCTCTCCTCCTCATCCTGTTCTCCTCTCATCCTCCTCTCAGCGACCTCATCCTCCTCTCATTTTCTCCTCCTCTTCATCCTCCTCTCCTCCTCCACCTCATGATTTCTCTCCTCTCTAAATGCTGCCTCTTTCCTCCTCCTGCCTAACCTCCTACTCTCTTCTCTCTTTCCCTTTCTTGCCTCTCTACTCACTCCTTGTACCTTCCACACTCTTACTCTGTACATCAATAACATCGATTTGGCACATGATTATGCTCAGCCACATAATGGGATGGAGGTGCTATTTTTAGCCAGCTAAGGGAGGAGAGGGAGGGCAGGGGAGCGAGAGAGAGAGAAAGGGGGTGGGATAAACCGTTCTTTTCGTTCTGTAGCTGTATGTCGGTTGGAGGCACAGAGCTCTGTGGCAGCTTGGCTAGAGGCAACGAAGACGAGCAAACGACACCACCTGAAACACAGATAAGACACAGGTAGGAAGCGCTGCTGTATTCTACATAGAACAGGCAAAGCCAGACACCTGGACTGATAGCAATACTAATAGATGGTACGTGCCCTGAGGAAATGGAATGGTTACATCATAGCTGCGTACATGGCCAGGCAATAAGTACACTTGTATCTTCAAAAAACAATGTATGCGCTGATGCTCAATGGCAAAACAGTTGATATGCTTAAAATGTCATGAATTCAAGTTCAAGAATATTGGTACCCTATGGGATGTGTAAAACAAATATATGTTGTAACCTATATTCTGCATAAAATTACGATATTTTTAGGATACTAGATGAGATTATGTAATATGGATTTGTTTTGCTATGTACTCAGCCCCCATGCCTAATGTAAGTTAGCAACACTGTCTGGCTGTCGGTTTGTCAGTCTGAGACAACATGAGAATAGGGAGGGGCATAATGAGTTGTTTACATGGGGTCCTAAATTAGTTTACGCCCACCCAATGTTAATATGTGCTTTTATATATTTATTAGTGTGTGTGAATATGTTTTTGTGTGGTGTATGTGTGGGTTATTAGGTGGGTGGATTGTGTGGTGTATGTGTGGGTTACTAGGTGGGTGGATTGTGTGGTGTATGTGTGGGTTACTAGGTGGGTGGATTGTGTGGTGTATGTGTGGGTTATTAGGTGGGTGGATTGTGTGGTGTATGTGTGTGTAATATGAGCACACCCTGAGATGTGATGAGGGAAAGCGAGGTTACCATGGAGACAGGCTCAGCACATCTTTCCTGGAAACGATTGCACATACGCATCAAATACACAAATACATTTCATATGCAATTATGCATTTTAAAAAACACACAAAGCGCATTGTCAATTACACTTTGCCTGTTTTTGACTTTTGCCTGTATTTAACTAGATGCAAATTGATAATTCATTCAAAAATGTGTCATTCCCATGGCATTGTTTACATTTTCCACAATCCAAGCTTTGCAAAAACAAAAGGTTATTCTCAGAGACTGACATGACCAGCCTCTCTCTCCCTTCTGTTTCGCAGGCATGCGTCCCCGCTCCAGACTCCTGGCTAAGAGGTGCCTGCCCACCATCAGGGAGGGCTATGAGGAGCTGGTCCAGGACATGAACCAGGCCAACAGCCGCCACCTCCCTCCCCATAGTCAGGCCCACTCACTGTCTACCCACGACTACTTCCTGTCCATCTGCCAGCTCGCCCGCCCAACCTTCCCCCAGGGCGAACCCGACTGTGACATCCTCACAGTGGGCTCGCTGGCCTCCCTGAGGCCCTGTCTGAGGCTGCACAGACTGAGGGACCCTGTGCCACCCTGTCAGCCTCTGATCTCCAAGGTAAGCCGCCACACACAGTTAGAGCAGGAGGAGAATCAGAGGGAGTGTAGTGGCCCAGAGAGAGTGGTGGATGCCAGCTCAGGTCAGACCTCCAGTAGGGTTGACCCCAGTGTCTCTGACCCCCTGGAGTTCCTCTACGGAAACAGGGAAGGACTCCTCTCAGCCACCTGTCGCGCCCATGACTCACAGGGCTGGAGGGGTGAGGAGAGAGAGAGTGATACCCAGCGTCGACCACAACCCCCGGTACGCGCCGACAGTTTCCCCCGCATGTGTTCCTCGCCCATGACCCAGCGCAAAAGCAGCTGCCCGGAGCTCTGCCTGGTGGACCCCACTGACCAAAATAAGCCAAACCCTGACCCTGCTCCACCACAGACATCCTCATCAGACCAGCAGAAATCTGATGCCTCCAGCTCACTCTCATGGAGGTTCCAGAACGACCCAGACAGGGCCCCTGCAGGTGAGAGGGGGAAGTGCACTCGCTACATGGACAAGCACACAATGGTATCACACTGGATTGCTGACTGTCGCTCGGCCTGGAGAGAAGCCAGAATCAGGGCGTGCATGCTTCCTGCCATCGCAGAGATGTAAACAGGTGTAGCGTTGTTAAGCCCCACTCATAAGTATTGTACATTATGGATCCTTGATGTACTACGTCCCGCTTAATTGGTACGTTTGGAAAATGCAGGTCCATGTGGTAACGTGTACAAATTGAGTTTTCATGCCTGACCTTTTTGTACAGTATGTAGTTTAAGACATATTGTAGACTAGCGTATGCCTCACACATATCACAGTAGGTGGAATGTTGACAGTGCCTAGAAGACATCAGTATTAGGGTAGCCTCGGGAAGTTGAACAAGACAGGATTTTGGAAGGATGACCACGCGAGACTAGTATTAGGGTGAGTAAAGATGTGTGGAAAATATGCAGAATTTGCTAAAAGGATCTCCTGTAGCTCAGTTGGTAGAGCATGGCGCTTGCAACGCCAGGGTTGTGGGTTCGTTTCCCACGGGGGGCCAGTATGAAAAATGTATGCACTCACTAACTGTAAGTTGCTCTGGATAAGAGCGTCTGCTAAAATGTAAATGTACAAAGACATATGACTAAGAAAAATGACAGATCATAATCTTAACTATTGAGTGAGTGATAGGTAGCTTAGTGGTTAAGAGCGTTGTGCCAGTAACCGAAAGGTCGCTGGTTATAATCCCCGAGCCGACTAGGTGAAAAGTCTGTCAATGTGCCCTTGAGCAAGGCACTTAACCCTAGTTGCTCCTGTAAATCGCTCTGGATAAGAGTGTCTGCTGAATGACTAAAATGTAAAATGATATCTCACTCCATTATTGACTAATGATAAGTCTGGTCAAATAAAATATTATACTTTTCATAACAATGGGAATGGTACAGTTTTAGAAACTGAACAGAGGAAAATGTGATCCTATAGCTAGTTCACGCTCGCTATAGGAGAGCATTTAAACTCAGATTATTCTCAGTGGTTCTGAAAACGTCTCTTGCGATTTCCTCTCTCATGTATGATATGAGTTATGCAATGACAATGTAGATCTGTGCAAAACTGATGAGTCTATTTCAATCTTCCACTAAGTAAAGCCATGATGAAACAGTACAGGTATATTCAGTCATATTCCCACTGAGTGAAACAGCATGTGACATTGTTGTATATTACTTTTTGATTGTGTTTAATGGTCCTCCATGACAGTAAAATGATGTCTGTGTCAAAATATAAAAATGGAAAGACAACAGTATAATTGACAATAAAATCATTTGATCTTGTATTGTTTGGCTTTTGTACCTCTGTCCATTGTTGGCCTGTAATCTAATTAAATTATGTGTTTTACCCTGCCTGTGAGTGTCCAAAACATAGACCTGTTGCACTAGGAAATATATCCGTATAGGGCAAGATAAACAAGTTATCCTAAACCTTTCTGTGATGGAGAGATAATAAAAAGTAATCATTCCGGATACCATAATGGGTGGCAGTCCTGCTCAGTGTCTTGAGGAAAATTTGCCAAAACATTCAAGAGATAAAGGTGCTCAAAGTTGACCTATTTTGCATAACCCACCACACCATGAGACATCCCATGTCTTCAACACGATGAGACAGCCTACAGGGAGGAGGTAGAGCCCTGTCGGAGTGATGCCAGGAAAATAACCTCTCCATCAACGTCAACAAAACGAAGGAGCTGATCTCGAACTATAGGAGACATCAGAGAGAGCACGCCCCCATCCACATCGACAGGGCTGCAGTGGAAACGGTCAAAAGCTTTAAGTTCCTCATTGACGGCCTGAAATGATCCCTTCACACAAACAGTGTGGTGAATAAGGCGCAACAGAAATTCGATTTGGCCCCTGAAACCTTCATAAACTTCTACAGATGCACCATTGAGAGCATCCTGTCGGGCTGTATCAACCCGTTACGGCAATTGCACCGTCCGCAGGGCTTTCCAGAGGGTGGTGCGGTCATCCAAACACATCACAGGGGGAACACTGCGTGCCCTCCAGGACATCTACAGCACCCGGTGTCACAGGAAGGCCAAGAAAATCATCAAGGACCTCAGTCCCCCGAGCCACTGCCTGTTCACCCCGCTACTATCTACAAGGAGGAGACAGTACAGGTGCATCAAAGCTGGGACTGAGAGACTGATAATCAGCTTCTATCTCCAGGCCATCAGACTGTTAAATAGTAACCACTAGCAGGCCTCCACCCAGTGCCCTGAGGGTGCTGCCAGTGTTTCCCCTAGGATTTTCTTCAGCAGCGGTAACGCTAGTGCTGTACTAGTTGCCTAAAACATGTTTTTAGACCATGTTAAGAGTTAATGGAAAACTGTTAAAATATATATTTCTCATATTGTCTCATATGATGTCTCCTACTAGTGCTGTACTAGTTTTTGCTTGAAATAGCCTAAAACATGATTTTAGACCATGTTCATGGAAAACTGTTGAAAAAGAGAGAGAATGTTCCGTTTTAAAGTACATTTCCTGCAATTATACACATTTAGCCATGGACTATGCCTTGTTCTAATGCTATCTGAGTGACTCAAACATTATAACAAGATCAATAGGCCATGACATTTTTGGAATTTCAGATTCTCCCTGACTGTCTAGTTTTTATTTGGGTGATTGCTAGTTTCTCAAAGATGATCTTATTTAAAAAATATAATGCTCCATTATCTTATCTGAACTCGTTAGGAACTCACCTTTCATCTCATATTAATATTGTCCATATGACAAACAGAAAGTGTTTTTTGTTTAAAATCTATTCATTATTTTAGATTAATGCCGATAAATCGATCTCTGAATGTGCTATAGTGGTGAACCCACTATCTTCTGCTGCACTATGATGTAATGATCACAGGCATGTGCTTTGTCAGTGGCTGTGATGTAGGGTTCAGCCAGGAGTTGATGGACAGTCGGAAGAGCGATTGAAAAGGTAGGAGGGACATCCCAGCTTCAAGTGGTTTCACATTTCACATCCTACGTCACACCGGCGCAAAAAGTATACTACTCTGTCCGTGGGAAACAAAATAAACAAAATAATTTAGGCTCTTGAAATGCATCTGTGCATTGGTAGATGTGCTGTACATTGTACTAAACAGTTATTACACTGCTATAGACTGTTACTACACTATTGACTGTTATAAACACGTATTACATTATAAATTGTTATCAAATAAAATCAAATTTTATTGGCCACATGCGCCGAGTACAACAGGTGCAGTACAGTGAAATGCTTACTTACAGCCCTTAACCAACAGTGCATTTATTTTTAATAAAAAAGTAGAATAAAACAACAAAAAAGTGTTGAGAAAAAAAGAGCAGAAGTAGAATAAAATAACAGCAGGGAGGCTATATATACAGCGGGGTACCGGTGCAGAGTCAATGTGTGGGGGCACCGGCTAGTTGAGGTAGTTAAAGTAATATGTGTGGCCAGCCAGGCCACACATATTACATTGTTAAAACAACAGACCTACAACGTGAAGAGTGGGTGAAATTATAAAGAGTTTGCATAAGCACGGGAGCTGAAGGGGACCAGTTGTCCATATAAAATAAGTTACTAGAGGAGACATAAAAAGCATAAGCCACAGACAGACAGACAGACAGACAAAACAATATATTTAATGACGCTAATCTTCATGAGGTGTGTTCGTAAATTCAATCTTCATGAGGTGTGCTTGTAACTCCTGAGTGGCGCAGTGGTCTAAGGCACTGCTTTGCAGTGCTAACTGTGCCACTAGAGATCCTGGTTCGAATCCAGGCTCTGTCGCAGCCGGCCGCGACCGGGAGACTCATGGGCGGCGCACAATTGGCCCAGCGTCGTCCAGGGTAGGGGAGGGAATGGCCGGCAGGGATGTAGCTCAGTTGATAGAGCATGGCGTTTGCAACGCCAGGGTTGTGGGTTCGATTCCCACGGGGGGCTCTGGATAAGGGTGTCTGCTAAATGACTAAAATGTAAAATGTAATGGAAGGAGCTTCCATGGGCCAGGATGTCGTCGAGGTATACCAGACACTCCTGTCGGGGGATGCCATCCAGCACCCTGTCCATCAAACGCTCAAAAGTAGCTGGAGCGTTGCACAGGCCGAAGCACAGGACCTTGAACTGCCAGTGTCCTCTGTTAGTGGAGAACGCAGTTTTGGTTCTGGCCTTTGGGGAGAGGGGCACCTGCCAGTAGCCACTACGGAGGTCTAGTGAGGAGAACCAGGAGGACCCCCTAACCAGGTCCAGCGACTCATCGATGCGTGGTATGGGGTATGAGTCCTTCCTGGTTACCTAATTCAGCCGCCTGTAGTCCGCACAGAACCTCAGCTTGCCTCTCTTCTTAGGAACCATGACGACTGGTGCCGCCCAGGGGCTGTCTGAGGGCTCAATGAAGTCTGCCCGCTGCATCTCCAACACAGCCTTGTCTACCGCCTCCTGGCGTGCCAGCGGGATACGGCGGGGACGCATCTTGATGGGCCGAGCATCACCTGTGTCGATCTCATGCTGCACCAGATGAGTCTGGGGGAATGTAACACACAGCCGTTGGGTTGTGTGAATGTGATATTAGGGAGGGCCATGGTGACTTCCGGCCCTCTCTGGAAGCTCAGTGTGCCCCCATTTAGGTCTAACTGGCAGCCTGTGCCAACCCCAGGATACAAGGGTCCTGCACAGCCGCCACCCACACAGGATGACGCACAGTCCTGCCCCCTACTGTCAGAGTCATTATTCCCTTCCCTTTCATGGGTGCCAGCTCACCTGTGACTGTTCGGAGCTGCACAGTTGTGGGCTCAAACTGAGTCCAACCTGGCACAATATCCGGCCTCATCAGGGTTACCGTGGACCCAGTGTCCACCAGGGCAGAGCAGGGCACCGCCTCCACAGTGACAGGGACATGACAAAAGTCCCCAACACAGGTCCGACCCACCACAACAACAGGCTCCATCTGCTTGCACTCGTCTGCTTCTGGGGGGCGTGGAGCCTTGCTCCCCCGTCCGTGCCAGTGGGCTCCCCCTGGCGATGGTGGTGGTTGGGAAAGAGAGCCAGGGGTCCGCACTGCCCCATCTATGCGGACCCCGAGCCGTTTCCCTGCACTCTGAGGG